TGCAGTTACCAGGCTCACAGCTCTCCCGGATATGACCATGAATAAAAGGAAGTTGGAACAGTTACTTCCCTCATCAAGCTCATCTTCTTATTCAGTGGTAGCAAGAGACGGGTTTGAGTAACGTTACAATGACTTATTATATTCCATGCCACTGAGATGCTTTACTTACAGGTTTCCCTGACTTGAACATCCTCAGCATGAAGAACAGCAAGCACCTCTCCCTCCAGTAACTGTCTCATTTGTCCCAATACTATTCGGTTCCCTCCACGACCATTGTCAAACAAAACATAAACAGATTCTTGCATCCATCGAACAATCCCTGATCCGACATGTAAAAAATTGTACTGTCAGACTTTTTTTTCCTTTCTTCCCTTGTCGGGATGGCGGTTTGGGTCTCTCGATTCCCACCGCCCAATCTTGCCACTATGCCCACTCCCGAGCTGTTACTAATGAGCTCAGGGAAAGGATTGTTCAGGCAGATCCCTCGCTAGCTGGTGTGGCAGACGCTACCAAGACCGCTAAACGGCAAGTCCGCACTGCTACTCGAGCATCACTGCAACAGCTGAAGGAGGGATTTGGGAGCGGTGAAGGTGCTGTACATGCGGCTCAGCTTGAGCTTGCTTCCGAGCGTGGTAGCTCTGCTTGGCTGACGTCACGTCCTCTATCCTGCCATGGCTTTCGTCTCTCTAAGTCTGAGTTTCGAGACGCTCTGTGTTTGCGCTATGGCTGGGTGCCGGAGCGTTTACCGTCATCCTGCGTTTGTGGCAACGTGCGCTTCGACGTCTCCCACGCATTATCCTGCCCGACCGGTGGATTTCCGTCTTTAAGACAGAATGAAATCCGTGACGTCACCGGTATCCGTGGAACCTCCACTGCAACCGCTCTCTGGTGAGCAGTTCAGCCTCCGATCTGCGTCCATAGAGAGGACAATGCTCGCCTCGACATCGCTGCCAGTGGGCTATGGGGTGGCCGGTTCGAATGCACGATGTTTGATATACGGGTTTTCAACCCCTATGCTGCTTCGAATCGTGCTGCCTCAACCCCCGCTGTGTATGCCCGCCATGAGCGCGAGAAGAGGAGGAGATATGAGGAGAGGACTCGGGAAGTCGAGAGGGCCTCCTTCGTGCCTGTCGTCATGTCGGCTAGTGGTGGTGCTGGGAAAGCCGCCACAGTTTTGTACAAGCGTTTGGCTGCTCTTATCTCTGAAAAGAGAAACGACCAGTATTCTGCCACCATGGCGTGGATTCGCACTCGGCTGTGCTTTGCGCTGGTCACGGAGGTCGAGCATCATGTGTTTGCGTGGTGCCAGATCGCCCAAGTCACGCTACCTCCAGCGAGATCCGATTGCGGTTGTCGTTGCGGAGGCACGCCTGCGGAGGCACGCCTGCGGAGGCACGCCTGCGGAGGCACGCCTGCGGAGGCACGCCTGCGGAGGCACGCCTGCGGAGGCACGCCTGCGGAGGCACGCCTGCGGAGGCACGCCTGCGGAGGCACGCCTGCGGAGGCACGCCTGCGGAGGCACGCCTGCGGAGGCACGCCTGCGGAGGCACGCCTGCGGAGGCACGCCTGCGGAGGCACGCCTGCGGAGGCACGCCTGCGGAGGCACGCCTGCGGAGGCACGCCTGCGGAGGCACGCCTGCGGAGGCACGCCTGCGGAGGCACGCCTGCGGAGGCACGCCTGCGGAGGCACGCCTGCGGAGGCACGCCTGCGGAGGCACGCCTGCGGAGGCACGCCTGCGGAGGCACGCCTGCGGAGGCACGCCTGCGGAGGCACGCCTGCGGAGGCACGCCTGCGGAGGCACGCCTGCGGAGGCACGCCTGCGGAGGCACGCCTGCGGAGGCACGCCTGCGGAGGCACGCCTGCGGCCTGAGGCATCTGACTAGCTTTAAAAACACACACACACATTTACAAAGTTGCTTGGACTGAATTTCACTTGTTTTATTAGTGTATTATCGTTACTGCGCAGTACTGTGCATGCTAGCTACATAATTAATAATGAGATTGAGTAATCATAATAACTATTTTTGGTTTCGCCCGTACAAGAGGCTTTTCCTAGCGTGAAACTACTAGTAGCGACTTCAGTCCAAAATTCTTAAATCGGAATTAGGGCCAACAAATTACACGACTGGAAAGAGAAACCTCTGCAGAGCACATACAGAAAATGTCATGGGTATATCTTGTCCCAAACCGGAGATATCAGGCCCCAAAGTTGGTATGCAATCGTTGGAGCCCATGTATGCAATTGTATGCAGAGCGATGGCACAAAAGTGGGCTTCTCGGACCTCATGAATATCATGCATACACAGTGAATGTATGCGCGATATGCGGGTTTTGGGTGTTCTTGGAGGGTGACGGAGAAACCGTCGTACACATAGATGTTGGACGGGACGTGCTCTGCTTCGATGCCGATGGATTGAAATAATCACCTCCTCACTGCTCAAGCCCCTCCAGAATCTTGACGTGAAGAACATAATCATTACTAGCGGATTTTACAAGCCAAAGGTCTGCTCGCTCCGTCACGCAGAGCCCGTCAAAATAGTGCACTCCATAGCCGACTTCAGCCACTGCGCACAAATTCTTCAAACTGCTAAAAACGGCTACTGAGAAGAACCTTACCATGAACCCATCTAAACTAATTCGAGGGCTCTGAACACGATGGTGACTCGGTCATTGACGGGCATGGTAGCTGAGATGCCGAAAGTTTGCTTTGAAAACTAAAAATACGGAGCGATATATCCAAAAATCGATGACTCTTGACATGCGACACATCGTTGGAAAGCTATTCATGTGTGCTTGACCATCATGTAAATTTTTTATTTTTTATTTTTTATTTTTACAAAACCAGTATACTAGTAATCAATCAGTAAAATGCAAAGAAACCGCTAGAAGTAGAAGCAGTATGCGTAGTAGTCTACGGCCAAGATACCAGAAACCGTATCAAACTCAGCACGGGGTTCGAGGTACTAAACCGATTACCAAACTAAGTCAAGGATTGACCATTACATGCTGCATTCTGCCACTGCTAACGTGATCGAAGGGCAGCCGTTGATTCTTGACGCTTTGTGCCGATGACCTCTCAGGGCTGTGACTGCGGCATTGACCAGTGCAAAAGACAGTTGAGTGCGGATGTATGCCATGACGATAGAGAAAGGCTCGGACCTCTTATCGGCCAACATGGATGCAATCCGAGCGTAGAGATTGCCAGCTGCCTTGCCATGACCACCTGTAGTGCTGAGCACGACCGGGATGAATGATCCATGCTCTACCTCAACGACTCTTCTCTCATAACTTCTTCTCTTTTCCTTTTCGTACTTGCGGTACACTGCCGGGATTGATGACTTCTGGTTTGAGGGGACAAATGGGTTGAAAACCCGGACATCAAGGAATGTCCTCTCAAACCGTCCACCATACAATCCACTGACTGCGATATCAAGGCGCGCGTTGTCGTCGGTGATGGTAGATCTCAAGGGGAAGTGTTCCCCCGAGAGAGGCTGGAGATGGGGTTCGACGGCTACATCATGGGCAACTTCCCGGAGAAGGTGGGCCGTGATGTCCCGAATCTCGTTGTGGCGGAGAGAGGGGTAGCCGCCCAGCGAGCAGGACAGGGCATGGGTGGTCGTGAACGACTTTCCACATGCACACGTTGTCGGGAGATGATCCGGCGTCCATCCATATCGGAGGCATAAGGAGTCTCGAAACGCCCCCTTGTGCAACTTGAAGCCGAAAACTGCAAGTGGCTTGGATGTTAGCCAGCTTGAGGCACCCTTCTCTGACGCGAGGTTCACGGCATACTGGATGTCTGGGTCCAGTTGCTGAAGCAGTGCAGCCATCTGCTCATTGGCCAGTTGCGTTGACTCCTTTCGGACTTCTGACTTCAAGAGCTGCATAGCCACTCGAACTCCGCCGTTGTTGGACTCCTGTCTGAGGATCTTGTCGACAAGAGGTTGGGTGATGATGCTGGACTGACGGAATTGGTCCTCAAGATGAGTGGGGTTGATGAGACCCAATCCACCAAGTCTGCAGGGCAATGACAGTACGGCCCTGGTTTGGTCACCAGGCGGACACCGGCCGGTAAGCGCGGGGATGAGCTGAAGACGTACGGCGTCCTCAATGGGCTCGAACAGCGGACCTGTCGCCGGGATGGTGCGAGCGACAAATGACCATTCGTGCTTTGTTAAAACACCATTGCAGAAAGCCGTGTATGCCGCTTGTGGGTGGCTGAGGGCGTACTGGGAGAGCACACTGAGCTCGTGACTCCATTTCTGAACCTTGGTTGACACGACCATCATGTAAAAATCGAAGGCGCCAGATACGTGAATAACGCGTAGGCGTAGAACGTCGAGAGAAAAATTGTTCCGTGCACGCCATGGCGCCATGCTTGTACCATACCTTCGTACAATCGTAGATCTACGACGAAGGATTTCTGCCTTTTGGTCACGTGATTGAAGTCGCTAGTAGTTACTTGCATTCACATCTTTTTGCTTTGTGCTTTCAATAAAAACACATTTCAGTACAGTAGTACTACTAGTACAAGTACTGCTTCCTGCAAAGTATTTTGTAGGTGCGTGACTACTACGTCATGTACTACAATTGGTACATGACCTAATACTATAGCAAGAGTACATGGTTTTCATGTACTACTCTTGACTATAGTAATAGCCGTCTAGCTGGCATGGTACAATAACCTTTTTTTATTTTTTTGTTTTTGTTTTTTTTAATGGCTTTCTCTTCTTCCTCGAATGGTTTACAATCAGTTTATCTGTATCACAATTATTATTATTTGTGGGTTCAGCAATAAAGGATGTGACTAGTACTAGTAGTACTGAGTCCAGCTGTAAGGGGTATTACTAATTTTACTACTCCTTGGCCTGTAGACGTGCAGTGCACCGACCGCACACTTCGTTTGTCGCGCGGTGCTACTTACTGTTTTTTTCACTGCTCACTGCTGTGAGGACAAAGAAAATGTTTTCCTTCCATTGTACAACCCTGCATCGTTGAAATGGCTGACGATCGTGAAGTAGTTCATAATGCCGTCGGCAAAGATGTGAGCAGTCTTCGCTGCTGCGTGGCGTGCCACAGCGTAGCAGACTCTCTCAAGATGAAGGTAATGAATTGCTTGCACGCCATGTGCGTCCCGTGTCTCGGACAACATTTGACCAAAGACGGAACGGTGTCGTGCTTCAAATGCCTGACTGTGGCAGCATCAGGTATGCCAGGAGTAAGACTGGAGGAATCCCTAGCCGACTGGCCAGTTCAAAAGGTAGAGACGAGAGGCAAGGAAGGTAGCGAGCTGCAATCAGATCATTCAGAGAAACAGCACGTATGCCAAAGCCTAGAATGCGAGGGAGAATCTTCCCCAGCTACCTCGCTATGTGTCGACTGTGGATTATACATGTGCGAGGGACATGAGAAACTACATTTGATGAAGAAAAGCTGCCGTGATCACCAACTCCAGTCAATGCACACAATGAGAACGGCAGCCGACCAGGACGACACAGTCGTTGATTCAGAATTTCTCCATTGTAGCCTGCACCCACGTTTTCCTGTGAAATCCTACTGCAAGCAATGTGAACAGTTGATATGTCAGAGGTGCTGGGAGCAGTTTCATGCTAGCTGTTCACTGAGTGTTGAAGATATTTCCACAGCAGCTGAGAGAAAACGATCTCAGTGGAAGACTCTCTTAAGTGATTGTAGCGACTCGTGGAGGGAGCACCTCAGTGGCATGAATGTCAACATTGCAGCACACACTGCAGACATCAATGAGAAGGTGGAGGCATTGTCAGAGGAGATTGTAGCTGATTTCAAAACGCACATGAAAAACCTGCAGCGCAGACAAGAAGATCTTCTGAATGAGCTGGACGCTCGGCGCTGGAAAGCATTGAAAGACCTGGAGAAGCAATCCGGCATTGTGGAAAAGAAAACATTTCAACTGGATTGCTGTGAGCATTTCGTGCACAACCTTGGCGACAGTTATCTCTTGACTGCAGAGAAGATCCTGCAGACACAGATCAAGGATATTGTCAATAGCAACGAGGAAGCTGATACCAGTGATGATCATCTAGTGGATGTTGATTTCACTGTATCCTACCGTGCATTTGCAACGGATGATGATGAGGAGAAGATGCGTACATCACAGCTGGGACGTCTTGTCGACTCTGCGTCCTGCACAGAGCCAGTGAAGAAGAACGCTGTACACGTGCAGCCAGTGTTCGATCGATTTAGCTGCGAACCTGCACAGTTCTCTCTATCCAGTGATGGCCATGAAGCATCGCATAGTGGTGAAGAGAATTGGCTTACAATCTCCACACTAGGTAGTTATTGCCATGGCGTGGTGGAGTGCTCAGTCCAGGTTAGTCACGAAGACGATGAGTTCTTTCTTGGTGTGGTGGAAGAAAGTTGTGAACCGCTTGAGGAATGTACACCAGAGAGGCCATTCTTGGGTTGGTGTAACTACATCGACAATGAAGATTACAGTGTAGGCAACAACGCAAAGCTTGGTCAGCCATGGCAAGATGGTGACATCATAGCACTGCGGTTGGATTGTGATCAGCACACACTGACAGGAACACACCAGAGATCTGGCCAGAGTGAGACCATCGCTGTACCCAGAGAGAAACTGTGCTTTGGTGCGGAGGTGTGCAGCATGGCACGGATCAGCTTTGTGCGTTGACACAAGTCTGTGGAATTAGACATTACTCTTTCCGTATGGTCATAATCAGATACATGTGTTGTACATGTGGCTGCACGTGCTGTCTCTTTGTCGTATCTGCTGCTGTATTTGTGTCTCTGTGCTGCTGACCCGTACATGCTGCTGCGCTGCTTTGTTGCTGATACGTGCGCCTTTTTGTGCTGACGAGGGCACCAATTTCTGATATGTTTTCCTTTTGCCATGTCAGTCGTTCATTGACAGTTGTCAGTTGTTCGTGGTCAGAGTCAGTCGTTCGTTGTCAGAGTCAGTCGTTCGTTGACAGTCGTTCGTTGTCAGTCGTCAGTCGTTCGTTGACAGTTGTGAGTCGTTCGCTGTCAGTGTTAGTTCTTCATTATGAGTTCTTCCGTCGCCGCTTGAAGTAAAGCCTAAGAAAAGCTCTCTCTCTAGCTCTAGAGAAAAACCACTTGACTAGTCCGTTTGATGTGTGGCGTGGCGAGGGTAACGTAGAAGAGGCAGTTTGTTCTCCCTTCCGAGACGACACATGTACTGACTGTGTGTGTGTGTCTATAGTTACACACTTCATGGCCTGTCTTGTGCCAGTGCATATTTATCTCTATTCCAGTCGGCCAAGCAGGTCTGAATAACATACAGTTATGTATATCAATACACTCATGATGATGCGGCTGGGTTACAGTACATTGCTACTGCTAGTGTAGAATCACATGAACATGTACTGTAGGTAAATAACTACTGTTACAGTACTGCTAGTGTACATGTAGGTTACAGGCAATATCATTGTGATAGTCCAGTGCGATCTGTCCACCTTAACGGGCCTACATTGTACATTCATTTCACTCTCAATATGGTAGCCAGCTGATGGAGTATATGTTTCAATATAGCCATGCGGTATGTTACATAATTGTATGTACGTTAAACGGATATGTAATAGAGAGTGTATTGGGCCTCCGTAGCCCCCCCCCCCCCCCCCCCAAACCCATGCACACACTACATTGTCACATAGCACAACTCAACCATTCGCTACCCTGTTATTGGGCACTCCTGCTCGTTTGGTCTCTGAAGGAGACCATTGAAGTGTCCGTGATGCTCCGCTTTAAGGAGAAGCGCTGAAACATACCGGGAACTGCATCAAATCTTGACTCGTCCTTTCCACTGGGCAGTCGCCTTGCCATCAAATCCGATGCATCGGATTTCACTGCCCAGTGGAAAGGACGAGTCAAGAGCTGTGACATTGGAGGTGACGAAACAGACGAGAAATTCCAACAATCAGCAATCGGCTACTGTAAATCAACAAAGTTTGGCCGGTGAGAAATTTTGGCCGATCTCGAAATGAAACTTTTGGCCGCCATTTAACTTTGGCTGATTGGGGTTTTCAAAAAGATCGATTGGTATTTGTTGCTCTCACGGGCAGCCATGGCTCAATAACGCATCATTTGCCTCTATGACAAATTTTGGCCTGCGATTTACTTTGGCTGGTTGGTACCCAGCAGCGAAATCAGCGAAATTAAATCGCCAGCGAAAATTAGTTGATTTACAGTATCAAGAGTCATCTGTCGGTTAGTGATAGTTGTCGTGAGTTGTACAGAGATGATGTTTTCTCAGTTTTGGCCCGTGGCAGATCTGTATTACATTTGTCTGTTTTGGAAGCGTTATATATTCGCAAGTTGTCCCCTGAACTATGTGTTCAGAAGGAAAATGTTTTGTCACTTCAGTTGTTTGGCGCTAGTCCTCGTGAAAGTGTCAAGAATGCTTCTTCTCATTGCTGTTCATTATGTTTTAGTCGTTTCTTCACCTTCACCCTGTTGTTGACTTGTTTAGCTGAATTTTGTTATTTTTCCACACGTAAAGCGTGAGGTTCTCAATCTTTGCTTTTGCTGTAGTAGGGATACCAGCGAACGCACTGCGCAGCGTGTTTGCGCATGTCTTACGTCATGCAAAAATCTATGAGGCGCACGGCCGACAAGAAAAAATGGCGCAGCAACCGTTACGTCATTTTTTGTGTCGGGCGATTCCAAACTCTGAAAGACTTTTTAAAGTACGATGTTTTTCGATTTTGAGTTGACAGCATTACAAAATTAATACAAGGCGACGTAGACCATCTATGATCTAGGAGTGAACGACTGAGCTCGTGCATGATGAGGAGTCACTAATCAGTACAGCCACAGCTACATCCTACATGTAGTGTTGCTGTAGCTAGCCAGTGAACCTACAAAAGCCTGTAGCTCTATAAGTTGCTGTATTTGACATTTTTCCACTATTCCCTGTATTTACCCACGATGAGAAGGGAACGAAAACGTTCGGTTAATGAATTGGCTTACTTGACTGTGAGGATTGCGTCGGCGCTGACACCTTTCTTTCGAAATTGGATACGCCTCCAATTTTTTCCTTGCATTATGTCTCCTTCTTCGAAGGCAATATTAAAGCCAGACCCACCGGGAAATATTTTCATGGGTGGGAGAGCAAAAGAAGTAGTATTATTATTCTTATTATTAACGGCAATCAGCAATACAAGCTGGATCGACATTTGTGTACACTGTATTCATGTATTGTAAAACTGTGGAGACAATGTGCAATAAAACGATGAAAATGTGAAGAAATTGTGTAGAGAAAAAAAAGGGGATTCAAACAAGTTTTCGTACAACACTCATCAGGAATCTTCGTTGTACTAAAGGACACTGAAAACAAATTTGATATATTATAGAAAATCTAAGTTAGAGAAATAACACCAAGAACAACAGCAGTGAAATTTACAAGTGTGAATTTTAACAATAAAAAACTCTAACTTAGATTTTCTATAATACATGTAGTTCAATTTTGTTTTCAGTGTCCTTTAGTACAACGAAGATTCCTGATGAGTGTTGTACGAAAACTTGTTTGAATCCCCTTTTTTCTCTCTACACAATCTCTTCACATTTTCATCGTTTTATTGCACAGTGTCTCCACAGTTTTATAATGCATGAATACAGTGCACACAAATGTCGATCCAGCTTGTATTACTGATTGCGGTTATCAAATTGTCTCCTCGCCGTTTATTCTTCTTCTTCTTATTATTTACTACGAAATAGAGGTTGCGACTTCGGCGATGATTTTGTTTAGGAATGGGTTTGCTCCCACACTGGAGCTCGCGCTATTCCGCCGACGACTTGACACTTGACTGACTCACGACTGCCATCCAGAGAACACGAGAAGTCCATCGAACTATTATTATTATTACTCACGAATTCCATTGATAATTGTGACAAGAAAACGTTCTGGAATATTCATTGCATTATTAAGAATATTGTCTCCCCGTCGCCTTATTACTCAAGTATTATTCCCATGGTTGTGATATGAGTGCGCATTTAGTTATATTCATTGCATTATTATTATTGAGAAAATGATGAACAAAAAATCGTACTTCGAACTAGTTTTCGCACAACACTCCTCAGGAAGCTACGTTGTACTAATGAAAAACAATCCAGAAAGATACTAATAAAGAGAAATGGAGTGAGAAGAAACAACACCTATGAAAATGATAATCCTAGCACTAAGGTAATAACAGGAAAAACTGCGAAAGCACTTAACGAACTTGTAAAGACTACTAGTATACTGTGACACCATGGCCAACCAGGGCCAAACAGACAGAACAAGCTGCTACTAGAACAATTTCAAACGAATAATGCTGTCCTTCTGGACACACAGATTAGGCTTATGAATACGTTGACAAACAGCTTCTAACACACTCAACTGCAACTTATAACCATGACGAGCACGGCACAAAACAGAAAAAGAAGAATCAGAATACACCTTGCAGCAATCAGGACGAGATACAAGATGCTTATACACTGATGACTTCCTACTAGAAAACACACGCTCGCACTCACTCTTACTCACACAATCATTCTCGCTCTCACACTCACCAGACTCACTGGCCGAATCCTCCTCAACGACGTCCTGCCTTGGAGCAATCAGGTCCCTATTTCAGTACGGAAGTACAGAGCCAACGGAATGCACAACAGGAGCGTGAGACAAGGGATGGGAGGAGACGGGACCTGATTGCTCCAAGGCAGGACGTCGTTGAGCAGGATTCGGCCAGTGAGTCCGGTGACTGTGAGAGCGAGAATGATTGTGTGAGTAAGAGTGAGTGCGAGCGTGTGTTTTCTAGTAGGAAGTCATCAGTGTATAAGCATCTTGTATCTCGTCCTGATTGCTGCAAGGTGTATTCTGATTCTTCTTTTTCTGTTTTGTGCCGTGCTCGTCATGGTTATAAGGTGCAGTTGAGTGTGTTAGATCGAAGCTGTTTGTCAACGTATTCATAAGCCTAATCTGTGTGTCCAGAAGGACAGCATTATTCGTTTGAAATTGTTCTAGTAGCAGCTTGTTCTGTCTGTTTGGCCCTGGTTGGCCATGGTGTCACAGTATACTAGTAGTCTTTACAAGTTCGTTAAGTGCTTTCGCAGTTTTTCCTGTTATTACCTTAGTGCTAGGATTATCATTTTCATAGGTGTTGTTTCTTCTCACTCCATTTCTCTTTATTAGTATCTTTCTGGATTGTTTTTCATTAGTACAACGTAGCTTCCTGAGGAGTGTTGTGCGAAAACTAGTTCGAAGTACGATTTTTTGTTCATCATTTTCTCCATATCACATTATTATTATTATTATTATGAAATCCTTCCTTCCGCTGGAAAAAAATCCTTCCTCGTGGCCTAGCACGAGGAGAACATGGATGCAGTGAATGGGATTTTTGGTCTTTGACCACTTGCTGGTGAGCTGAGCTACTCACCTCCCACCGCTTTAGGAGCTGCATCTGCGCCTTGATCCTTGAAGGGTGGTGGCGTTCCTACGAATGCGGAAAACTCGGTTTCCAGCCGAGTCACGCGAACCGTGAATTTATTTTATTTTTATGAAATGACTCAAAGGCAATGTATGTTGCCTGATGAATACGTGAATACGGAATTGCAACACAGCTTCCGATCTCTCTCTTGTGTAACATACATTTATATCAATACACTATGATGCTGCTA